TGTGCTGTGTGTGAGTGAGCAATTCACCTTCATCATCCAAAGCCACCAAGATTAGAGGGTGGTTAAAACAATTAGCCTATCTGATTAATACACATAATCGGTTAGCAGGCCGCAGGATCCTACAGCCTCCCTCAGTTTTCAAGCTCCCTTGTGTTTTTGTTTGTTTGTTTGTTTGTTTTTAGAAACAGGGTCTTGCTCTGTCACCCAGGCTGGAATGCAGTCATGCAATCATGGCTCAATGCAGCCTCGAACTCCTGCGCTCAAGTGATCCTCCTGCCTCAGAATCGAGTGACGGGGACTACAGGTGCATACTACCATGCATGGCTACTTAAAAAAATTTTTTTTTGTAGAGATGGGATCTCACTATGTTGCCCAGGCTGGTCTAGAACTCCTGGCCTCAAGTGATCCTCCTGCCTCAGCATCTCAAAGTGATGGGGTTAGCTCCCTTGTTACTATCATAACATATACACAAAGCAACACAGAAATTACAGCTGAAACCGGGTCATTATATTCCTCTACAGCATAAAATTTTGTCAATGATGAAGAGGATTTCTGGTATAGATCTTAGACAAAGTAGAGACAGGACCTTCTCTTCCCAGAACAGCATTCTGTGTCAAGCACTGATTGATTGATTCATTCATTCATACAAATATTTATTGACTGCCTGCTCCTACACCGAAAGGAGTTAGGAGATAGAGTGTGAAGTAGATCAAGTCAGACTTAATTCCCTCATAGAGGAGTCCACGTTTGAAATAGAGAGGCCAACCACAAACAAATCATATAGATTCTAAATGTCACCTACCGATAAATGCTTTGAAGAATGAAATGGGATAAGGGTACAGAGACCGAGGGGGCTGTTTTAGAGGAGGTTTCTGCATATCTGATTCCCCAGGCTTGCACTCGATGGGAGGCTGCCAATCAGAGTGTGGGGAAGGTAAGCAGGTGGGCTGATAGCACTTCACCTGCATAGTTTCAAGACCTTAGGGACCAGGGCAAAAGCACACACGTCAGGACTGCTGTGGACAGAGTCATCCCAAGGAATGACTATCCCCCAGGGTCACACTGAAGAGCCCATGGCCTTCAAAGGGAAAATGATAGAGTTAGATTCAGGTTCCACCAATAATTGTTGAGTGCCTACTCTGCAAAGCACACTATGCGCTACACTTCCCCATTGTTATTTACCTGGTAGCCGGGCTATTCAGCCGTGGAAGCTTCATTGATTAGAGCTATTCTTAGGGTGATCATATACCCCAGTTTGCCAAAACAGCTCTGGGTTACAACTGTTGTCCCAGTAAAATTATTTGTAGTGTTCCCTTTCACTCTCAAAATGATCTCATTTGGACAATAAGTTACATGATCACCCCAGGGATCCTTATCTATAGCAGGATAATAAACTCAAAGTCCCGAAGTGGTATAATTAGCCTTTCATTCAACAAATGTTTACTGAGTGCCTTCTGAGGTGCCCGGTGCTCTGTTAGGTGCTGGAAATGCAAATGTGGATAAATAAGACATGGTCCCTGCTGTGGAATATCACATTGTCATTGGGTAAAACAGATACACAGGCAGACACAAGAGAGAGTGCAATGATAGAAATGGACGTCATGGGTAATGTTAGCGTCAGAGATATTGCTCTCCCTCGCAGCACTCGTGCTCACTGGGAGAACTAAAAATGAAGCCATGCTTCTCTACAGCATCCTATTCACCCAGAACTGAACAGGATTTAAAAAATCGAACTTGGATTTTTATTCCTCTTTTGCCATTTTTTCCAGCCCTTCCTTCCAATCTCCCTGACCTCTAGATGCTGGAGTGCCTCAGGAGGCATCCCTTTGGACTTTTTCTTCTGCACACAGATTCGATCCTATGGGATCTCTCATTTCTCAGTCTTCCTTCAGCTCTAGTCATTAATATCCAAATTGCAATCAATATCTCCACTTGGATCCCTGATAAACTTCTCAATCCTAATCTATCAAAAGATTTTCTGCTCTTCAGACCCTCAAACCATAAACACCCTCTCATCTGTTCTTTGTAAATGCTCCCCCACTTAGGCAAATGGCAACTCCATTCTCTCAGCTGCTTACACCAAAATTTTGGAAGTTGTCTCTGACTCCTCTTTTTCTCTTACATCCCACGTTGAATCCTTTAGCAATTGCTTTTGTCTTGTTTGTCTTTTCTTTTCTTTTCTCCTCTCCTCTACTCCCCTCTCTTCTTTTCTGTTCTTTCCCCTTCCTTCTCCTTCTCTCTCTCTTTCTCTCTTTCTTTCTTTCAGAGTCTTACACTGTTACCCAGGCTGGAGTGCAGTGGTGCAATCATGGCTAACTGCAGTTCCAACCTCCTGGCTCAAGTGATCCTCCTGCCTCAGCCTCCCAAGTAGCTGGGACTACAGGCATGTGCCACTATGCCTAGCTAATTTTTTTTTCTAGAGATGGGGTCTCACTATGCTGCCCAGGGTAGCGGAAATGCTTTGGGCATTACCTTCAATACACACCTAGAATCTGCTTGCTTATCACCACCTGCTAATCACCACCTGGTCCAAGTTAGCCCTGGTTCTTGCCTCCTTGACTACAGAAGCTTCCTAAAGGCCTCCCTGTCCTTCCCTCAACCCTACTTGGGTTGTTCTCAATACAGCACCCAGTATTACCCCCATTTAAAAAGACAAATCCCTTTGTAACTCACCTAGGCAACATAGCAAGACCCCTTCTCTAAAATAAAATAAAATAAAATAAAATAAAATAAAATAAAATAAGATAAAATAAACCACGCATGGTGGCATGTCCCGGTAGTCCCAGCTATTTGGAGGCTAAGGCCAGAGGATTGCTTGAGTCCAAGAGTTCAAGGCTGCAGTGAGCTATAATCATACCACTGCACTCCAGTCTGGGTGACAAACGAGACCCTATCTCTAAAAAAAAAAAAAAAAAAGAGCAGTCCCACCTGCCAGGAGATTCCCACCTCTTTCAAAATAAAAGCTCTAGTCCTTATGATGGTTTCATGGGCCCTGGGTGATTTGGCCTGGGATGACCTCTCAACCTGTTTACCTCCCATCCTTCTCCCATGTTCTTGTTATTCTTTGAATACATTAGATTCCTGCTATTACCTCTCTCATCTTTGCTCAAATATCACTTCAGTGAAGCTCTTTCTAATAATCCTATTTAGTTTCACTCCCTGTTCCTTTTCCTGCTTTATTTTTCTCCATAACCTTATTTCCATCAAATAGGGTTGCCAGATAAAATACAGGACTGCTCTGTTAAATGTGCACTTCACATAAATAACGGATTAGTATTTTTAGCATAAGTATATCCCAAATATGACACAGGATATACTTACACTAAAAAAAATTCACTGTTTACCTGAAATTCAAATTTAGCTGGGCCTCCTGTGTTTTTATTTGCTAAATTCAGCAACTCTGCCATCTAACATGCTATATATTTTATTTATTTGTTCATTGTCTGTCTCCACCAGCTCCCCACCCCCTGAAACTTGGTCCTTACACTGTAAGTTCAATGAAGGCAAGTATTTTCAGTCTGCTTTGTTCACCACTGGATGTCTGGCAGCTAAAACAGTGACGACGACATAACAGATGCTCAATATTCACTGAATGAATTAATGAGTGAGCAAAGGAGCATGCTCTCTCAGCCTGACCATCCTAGCCTCTGAAGCCTCTGAATTGCCATGATTGTTGGAAAGTCATTTCTTAAATGGATCCCTTTCTAACAGCCCCTCTAGAATCTGGGTCATTTCTTTCAGGACAGGCCCAGAGGTTGAATTCCTGCAGTAAGATCCTGTCCCAGAAAATGGAGGGGTTGCGGGAGTCAGGGGGAGGAGGCAGCCTTATCTTCCACTGGATGCCACTGACCCCGGTGGCCTCAAGGAGGGTGCTGTGCTTTGGCGGCACGAACGCAGACACCTCGACAGATGACTGTTCAGACTCAGGGAATCTCCAGCCATTACAAAACTTCGAGTTTTCTACATTTCACTGGGGGATTTCTATCTCTTGTCATTGTAAGTTCTCTTGTCTGGCTTAGCTTTGCATTTTCAGCTTGGATGAGTCATGTGCTACTTCCCTTTTACATGTTCATAAAACACACACCTTTTCCCCTGTGCATAATCCCTACTCCCACGCACAGCACTGCACTCCCGCACTTCTTTTTGTTGTGTACTGGCCCCTGCATGAACCTGAGGGAGGCTGGGTCGGGCGGTCCAGGGCTGTGCGGTTTATGAACATGCTGCCTATAGGATTCCATAGAATCAGTTCTTGGCATCACAGGCGCCAGATGCCAGAGAGCAGGGACCTCCTCTGGCTACCCAATCCCGCTGCGAAATTTCTTTGGAACAACATAAGCTTCTGGAAATTCCCTACGGAAAAGACAAGTCTATTATAAACACAATTAAAGGGAAACTGCCGGAGAAAATTTACCAAAATTGTCCAACAACTCCCAAGTTTTGAATTAAAACATAAAAGAAGATCCAGAGTTCTATCACCCAGATGCTCAAGCCCTCCCCTGCTGCTGGGATCTGTAAAATAAAACACGCCTGGTTTCTGTGATTTAACTCTAAAATACTGCACAAACTTTGCAGCCAGCATGCATCTGCCACATGGAATCCCCCAACCAATGAATGGAAGCTGCCGTCCTAGAGACAGTTTCACAAAAACAGCTCCTTTCTCCCATGGCTGGAGCCCCGGGAGGAAATGATTAGGAGCTGCTTAGTGATTTATTTGTCATTGCTTAGAGATACAGCGCATGCTGATGGCTCACTGTGCTACAAATGTGACATCACCCCACCACCTCTTTTGCTGCTTAAGAAAATCGTGCCAGAGATAAAGTCAAGCCTAAGAAATCACAGTTCTCTATTCTCTATCCAGTTTGGAAAATGTACCATCTCAAGAATTTGCCTTTTTTTTTTTTTTTCTTTGCCAGGTCCCAGGGCTGCAGTTTATAAAAAGCAGCAAGCGGCAAGGGGCACGCGTCCCTGTAACTCCATCTTTGAATGGGTCTGTTACTTACCCTGCATCTGTCTTCTGTCTGCTGAGTAAGGAAGGCACGGCTCACATTTCTGGCTTTCATTTTCTTCCATTGTCTCTGCCTGCCGCAAAAGCTCCTTGCTCTCTGGAAACTTCAGAGCGCAGTTCTAAAAGCTCCCAGAAAGCGCCTGGGAGGGGGCCCGGGGCTGGGGAGGAGGGGACGGTGCGAAACCCCACCCCAAACTATTTTCCACTCCGGTGCAAAGTCTCCCTCGCCCGAGAAAACTGCATTCCAGCGCCGGGCCTCTTGGATCTCCCCTACCCCTGGCCCTCCGTCCCTAGGTCTGTCCGACCGTCCGTCTGTCCGTCCGTCCGCAGGCGCGCTCCCCGGGGACTGGGGGCTGGGCTCTGCCAGGGCAGGGCGATGCCGGGGGTTGGGCGCGAGGGGGGAGGCCCCAACAGGTGACGGCCTCTCCTACCCACAGCTCGGCCTGCCTGGTTCCACCGCTGCAAACCACCGAGGCTCTGCAGCCCAGGAAGGAAAACATTTCACACATGATTAAGGCCGGGAGCCTTCGCTGGGAGCCAGTGCCCTCATCTCTTTAATCTCAGAGGGAGAGTGAGCCTCCCAAATCGGGTGATCCACATATTAAGAAACAGCAACCCGTCGAACCTCCCAAATTTCAGTGAACTCCCTTAAAAAAAAAAAAAGTCCCAAACAATTTGAAAGAAAGGGTCTATGCTGAGTACTGCAAGTAAGCACTTTCCGGCACTAATTTTTTAGGGCCCGATTAACATCTATGAAGAGGTCTAGCCTCATTTGCACACAGTCGATTTCAATCACTCAATCTGGACTTTTAAAAAAAAGTTTCTACTTACTTGCCTCACTTTCTCAGATTCCTCCCTTCCCCAACACACTTACAAATACACACACACTCACACTCACACACTCAGCCCTTGATCACAAATCCGAAAGGTAAACTAGTAAAGTCAACCTTCTGAAGCTCTCCCAGTTAACAACTTCAAAACATCTGAAAGACAGTGAAAATGCATTTCTTTGGATGGGCAGAGTTACAGCCAACATACTTCTTCTCCTTTTAAACCACCTACAAATATTTATTTTGTTCTTTACCCAGTCCTTGAAAAACTGGCAGAGTTCCCAGAGAGTGAAAATAGGGGGCATGATGTCCGGAGGGAAAAAAAAAAAGGATGGCAAAATAATCTAGGCAACATTAGCTCTGCAACCTCAGATATCTCAGGGTAACAGTAGCTAGGAGGAAGAGTGCAATATTGTAACCTGTAGCAGCCCCATCACTGGAAGGTTAAAAAAGGACAATGCTTAGTCTGGTGACCATACCTTGCCCCAGTTTACAGGGCATTCCAGCAAGGTTTGAGATTGATTTAAATCAAGAATGTGTGCAGAACAATGGCCGGCCTATGTTCCAGATTGTGACCTCGAGTGACCTGTGTGTTTTGGCAGTGGGGGTGACGTATTTTGGTCATTTAAGACATAAGGATGTGGAAGCACCTAACAGACAAAGGATGTAGGCCAAAAGGAAAGGAGACATGCCAGGAAGTGAGTTATACTCATGTCGGGAGGGGAAGAAGAGAGCCCCTCAATTCCTAACGGGATTTTTCTTGAAATCCAAGAAGACGCAGTGAATCTTTCAGAAAAATAAACCAGTGCCTTGGCAGCCTGAATAGAGGCAGTGGGATTTGCAGGGCAGATAACTTAAGGTCTCTATGACTTTGCAACAGAATTACCTGGCAATCTTGCTTTAAGGAGGAATGAATCGTACACAGTTTCTGTCCCGGTGGCCCCTGGGCAAAGCCAGATGAATCTAGTTTTAAACTTACTATTTCCTTAGGTGTAAAATGTTCATGAAGGAGGACCCTCCTATGTTCAGCCTTTCAGGTCCAGTTCATCCTGATTCTTGTACACTGTTGTGTATTAGTCTTTAATGCATTAATGCCAGGAAGAGTGGAGAGGATGGCGTGAGAAAAATGAGAGAGAGAGAGAGAGAGAAACACTGCAGATGCAGCAGCCCAAATCAGATGTCCCTCAGCCTTTAGTTGTGACCCCAAGCCCCTTGCTTTGGTGTCCGGAGAGCCCATCCTTAGCAGCTCCTACCTGTCATTTGGTAGCACAGAGGCAAAAACCCCAGGATGAAGGAGGCAGCAGAGAGCTGCCATGGCAGCTGGCAGCCACAAACCATACCCTGCCCTGGGGACCTCCTGGCTAGCTCAACCCAGGCAGAAGAGATCCATTGGCAGATGCTGATTATGATTTCCTGGGGGCTGTTTGGAAGGTATCACAGCAGTCTTTCAAGGCCTCTGTTGATCCCTAGATGGACAAAAGTAGGGGAATGTTTCCCACCAGGTCTGAACTACCGTTTTCCAGGCAGGCCAAGGAACCCCCTTGGTCAGTCCACCTTGCGTTCCAGCTGCTAGAACCCTCCCCTCCCTCATATGGGCCAAGCTGACTACCCTCTCCACTGATATTCCAGGAAGCAAAACTCTGTGATACGCACAAGAGAAAAAGGCGTTAGGGGGGAAGACATGTAACATAAATCATTAAGGACCATGAAATCTAGACGTGTATTTACAGTAAAATAATGTTCTTTTGAATGATCAAACTTTCTGACCATTCTATAGGGAAAAGCTTCTATTGGATTACTTACCAGCCTTTCGTTCCTCCTTAAGAGGAGGAACTGAAAACAATTTGAGAAGGCACTCTATTAGCCCTTGCACCGACTATTCCACATCTTTCTCCAAAGCACAGAGACCTTCCTAACCATTTAACACTGATTGTCAGTTTCTCTGGAAAACAGTAGCTGTATTCTGCAATTTATATAAACCTGCTAACTCCGATCTTCATGAAAATACTCTTATTGTCACCGCTGTTACTGTGGAGATGTTCTTCTTTCTGGAAGAAACACTATTTGAACTAGAAGTAGGTGTATTTCTTTCTGGTTTAATTTAATTTCTGGGCTTAAAAATTGCTATTACATTGCAATCTGCCTACTGCTATACTTTGAAATTTGCTGTGAAAGGCATAAGGAAAGCGGCAAGAACTTGAAATCTGATTTCCCTCCAATCATATAGAGAACTAGAATAATAATAATACCAGGAGGCTAAGTTTTCAACTCCATTTCTGTTAACAGGGAAAGGTGCAAGACTATTTCTTGGTTAGTGGTTCCATATGTTGCAATTCATGACTCAAAATGAGCTACCACATAAAACAAATGTCATTTAAAAGGAAAGACAAGTGATGAGATAATAGAGTGCTGTAAAGACAAATGGTGATTTTGTAGTCATAGCTAACCTGTTACAGAACTGGACCATTATTGGTGCTGATAACGCAACATAAGTGGCAACCATCATGAAGAGAATTAATCACAAAAATCGTAAACAATTGCATGCGATTTCTCAGCAGGCCAATTACAGGGTTGTGGAAAGCATGTCAATTTCCTTTATGTAAGTTTTTCTTTTCTTTCTTTCTTTTTTTTTTTTTGAGATGGTGTCTTGCTCTGTTTTTTTTTGAGATGGCACCTTGCTCAGTTACCCAGTGGTGCGATCTGGGCTCACTGCAACCTCTGCCTCCTGGGTTCAAGCGATTCTCCTGCCTCAGCCTCCTGAGTAGCTGGGACTACAGGCACATGCCACCATGCCTGGCTAACTCTTTGTATTTTTCATAGAGATGGAGTTTCGCCATGTTAGCCAGAATGTTCTTGATCTCCTGACCTTGTGATCTGCCCACCTCGGCCTCCCAAAGTGCTGGGATTACAAGTGTGAGTCACTGCACCCGGCCTTTTTTCCCTTTTTTTTTTTTTGGAGGTGGAGTTTTGCTCTTGTGGCCCAGGCTGTAGTGCAATGGCGTGATCTCGACTCACTGCAACCTCTGCCTCCTGGGTTCAAGCAATTGTCCTCCTTCAGCATCCTGAGTAGCTGGGATTACAGGCACCCGCCACTATGCCTGGCTCTGTTTTTTTTTTTTTTTTTGTATTTTTAGTAGAGACGGGGTTTCACCACGTTGGCCAGGCTGGTCTCGAACTCCTGACCTCAGGTAATTCGCCCACCTCGGCCTCCCAAAGTAATCATTCTAGGTTTACAGGCGTGAGCCATTGTGCCTGGCCTATGTAAGTTTTTCAAGAGAGAAATCATTGCAAGAACCAAGAGTAAGTGGAATTGCCCTGATACATATTTAATATTTTTTCACTTTAAATTCTATTAAGAACCAGATAATTGAAAATGACTTGACATCATGACACAAAAGAAATAATTAATGCTTGCTGAAGTCCTTAAAATGTACTTTTCAAAGGCAGCCATAACTGTGGGAGTTAATCAAAACAAAGTGAAAAACAAAGAAGTCAACAAAAGTGTTTCAACCAGAGGCCTCATGTTTGATGTGTTCCACATTAACTATTTCTAAAAGACAGACTACTATGGTATGAGGCCCTGTAAGTCAAAAACAAAGGATTTTTAACAACTGGGATAACATTTGCTTAAATGGATGATCTGGCACATGTGAAATGTGGGATCTCCAATCCTAGTTTTGACAGCAATGTGTCAGGTGGTTAGGGTGACCTTATACTTAGCATAAACCAGCAGTTGTGAGAGGGAAAGGAGACACTATTAATAATTACAACTGGACAAGAAACCACGGCTGTCCCTGGCAAACCAGTACAGATGGCCACCTATGTGTGATCCCAAGATAAGCCCTCTGGGCGCCTTAGGTTTCCAAATGTGAGGGGAACATAATGATACTGTTTGAGTTTCCCAACAAAGACCCTATAAAAGAATCTTAAACAATAATTAAAAAATAATTAATCTTAAACAATAATTAGAGTGAAGGTGTGAGCCTCACACGAACTGTATTACAAAGCCCCACTAACAATTTCACAAATTCCATAGTATGATACATTTCTATATGACTCATAGATCAAAACAGAATTTTCCCTTCTGTGTTAAGAGCAACAATTTCACCAGGTAACCATTTATATCTCCAGCATTCTCTCCAGAGCAGAGGGTAACCAATCTTCCCGTAGTTAAAGTCCTTAAAATTCCAGTGGCTCCAAGGAGATTCTGCCAGACACTAAGTGAGGTGCCCAAGAGCCCCTCCCTACCCACCAACACTCAAGTCTCCCTATCAGATGTCTTGGAACTCTCCTCTTGCCCCTCCACACAAATTCCTCATGTGATCATATAATGTGAAACTACACACAGATCCAATGTGTTAATACTTTAAGCATGTTTGCTTTCTTTTTAAGAGAACCAATTGATGTTGGCTTTTATTATGGGTTCTTTTATCTATCTTAAGTTGGAAGATAGATGCTGGGCGGCAGAGACCCCGTATGCACAGCACTGTGGTCAGAGCTGGCATCTGCGCAGCACATCGTCTTGAGAGTCTTGCTTAGCTCTGCCCTCTGGTCACTGCAGACAAAGTCTGGATTCCAGGTGGCAACTTCTAAGTGCAAATTGTAACATGTATCTGCTCACCCCTTTTATCCCAGAGGGAGCGAAACCATGGCATATTTCACAGAGTTCCTGAAGGGCCAGGGTGGAGTTCACGAGAATATGAGAACTTCTATAGATACAAGCACCTGGGTTGCTACCTCGCTTTACCCACAGTGCCTCATTATCAA